TATATATATATATATATATATATATGATATAACTTAATTAGCATATATATGTATTAAATAATAATAATTATTATTAAATATGATATATTATGGAATGAATTTGATGTTTTAAAATGCACAAGTTCCTAGGCAATCAACACCCCCTATTAAGGGGGTGCCATTAGCACTGCCCATATTATATTATAAAATATTTGACAATAAATTTTAAAAATCATTTTTCATGCATGAAATATTGTTTTTTGATGCATATTACTTAAAATTCAAGATTACAAATAAATTATACGTAAATACAATTTATTAAAACTTGATATTTGAATTCGTGTAACTAACTGCAGATAAGCATAATCAAATACAATATAAACATTTAATTTTAAATATAAAAAATTTAAAATATAATTAAGATAATCATTAAGTTCTAACAAAATACTTAATAATTATTCTTATAAAAAATAATATTATTAAATTAAAAATAAATTATTCGTTACTAAATCTAAATTAAATTATAATAAAAAATTGAATTAAAGAAATTACACATTGATACTAATATTGATATATTTATTTTCGAAATTTTATGATATCTTCAAATTTGTATTTTATTCAAAAACAAAAACATTATTCTTTTCTTAAAACAACATAAAAACCCTATTAAAACATCTACAGAAACTGAATAAAACGAAATATTAAAATCAAGATATATCTCGCTGCATTACGCGACTACCCTTCTAGTATATATAAATTTATTTGAACTATAAAATCAAAATTCATATTCTCTGTTTTAATGATTATAATATTATTATATTACTGAAAAAAATATGTTTCAAACATTTCATAAAATTATGAACATTTAATTTTAAGTTTTTTTGTTGGTAAAATATAATTAAGTTAAATCTCGTAATAATCATTCTAGAGAGTTTTTCTAAATTCTATGAATTTTATGCATTTTTTTTTATTTTAAAGAATTTGTGAAAGATAGTCTCATTTTTCATCGTAATTTAAATATTATTAAATCAACCTATTGATATGCAAGCAATGACAATTTAGAGGTCGTTTACCAAACACTTACCCGATAAGTATTTATCGGTAAAATTTAATATTATGATTTACTTACCGGGTAAGATTTTAGTCCACCAAAATGACATCTGTATGCAACAAGTTACCCGATAAGCGCTTACCGTGGTAAGAGTCGTCGCCCTCACTTACCAGGTAAGGCTTTTGGTCCTTGTTTCATTCTTACCGGGTAAGATTCTTGGTCCTTACCATATTCATCCGGTGAGATAATGTTACTTAGTAAGCGCTTACCCAAGTAAGCGTTTGGTAAACGGCCCCTTAGTCAAAATCTGAATTTTTGCAAAAATAAGGGATAATATTGAAAAAGAAAATGCTATAAAAATGCAAAAGCAAGAGAGGAGCTTTGGGGAAGAAACTAATCAAGTGCTGTTGTCTTCACCTTTACACCATGCTTCTAAGCATGAGAATCTTATGCACCCTTTTTATAAAGCTCGTAAAGGGTACTTTTGTAATTTTACTTCAAAATCACGATTCTCACTACTCTTTAAGTCAAAACTTTTGTGCAAAGGTTTTAGCCGGCAACTTTGAGTACCCTGTTTCAATAAGAGTATCATGTAAGAGATAAATCAGATATACAACGGTCTTATTAGGTGGCTGGCTTTATAACCTAGGGCCCACAAGGAGCCCAATCCCCAAAGGTATTGTTTGTAACTCTCACATTGCAGCTGTTAGACTCGAAATTCTCACTTGTTTGTGCAAGTTTAAACGTACATGCCTAACCACATGCTTTTTATGATGTCCATCAAACCGAACCCATATCTTCTGGAACTAAAAACGTATTCCCCTCCAGGACTAGCATATTCAATACCTTGTRTAGCTTATCTCGAACYRTCACGATTTGTGGGTGCAATTGATCATCCACACGGAAATCGTGAACGACACCATTCACCTCAATCCAACTGCATCCGAAGTTTGATTTTGATTCAGATTCAGATTCATGCTTTCTCTGGCTCATTAGTTTTCGTACTTCGCCAACTCTTTCCCATGTGTTTAGAGAAGCATACAAGTTCGAAAGAAGCACTTCACTTCCATCGAATTGACTAAAATACCCTTGCCTGACGTATGCAATTATCTTGTCTGCAAGACTCACGTCCTTGTAAATCCTGCAAGCGCTCAGCAACGCCCTCCATATAACTATATCGGCATCCAAAGGCATCTTTATTGCAATCACTAAGGCTGTCTTCAAGTAGCCAGCACGACCAAGTAAATCGACATAGCAGCCATAGTGTTCAACTTTCGCTGCAATATTCCACACGCTCGCCATTTTGTGGAATATCGAAGAACCCTCTTCGACTAGACTACATCCTGTTAAGACACCCAAAAGCGTTACCTCATTGGGAGCAATGTTTTCAGTTAACATTTGATGGAAAACCAGAAGGGCGTTGCCACCCAGTCCATGGGACGAGAACACTGAGATCATGCTAGTATAGTTGCAAACATCTGGTTGAGAAATCTTGTGAAAAACTTGGTACGCACTGTTGATCATCCCACATTTTGCATACATATCGATAAGAGCAGTTGAGATGTTGGATCTTTTGGTGAAACCGTTCTTGTTTATGTATGCATGAATTGAGTTTCCTTGATCTAAAGCCCCGAGAGGAGAACAAGCGGATAGAGCGCAAACAAGAACAGCCTCATTTGGCATCAAAGAATCATGTGATTCCGTTAGCATGTCATGGAAACATTCGAGAGCCTTGATATACTTGCCACAATCAAGAAATCCCGAGATTATAACAGTCCAAGATATCATGTTACGTAATGGCATCATAGCAAAGATTTCAGAGGCTTTGTCCATTTCCCCTTGCTTGGCATGCCCACCTAGCAGACTAGTCCATGAAAAGATGTCTCTTTCGGGCATTTCATCGAACACCTTGCAAGCATCATCAAGTCTGGCAAACACACCATACAGATTTATCAGTGAATTACCCACGTATAGATTACTCAGATACCCATTTTTCGTCACTATCCCATGCACAATCATCCCATGTAATTCTGACGTTTGGTGCGTGCACGACGTGATCAAGAAAGTGAAGGTGAACTTGTCCGCGATAACTGGAGGATCATCTTCTAATGCATTCAATCGGCAAAAAAGACTGATGGGTTCCAGAGAATTTGGGAGTTTGGAATAAGATCTGATCACTAGATTTCATAGCAAAATCGGTGGAGGATAATTAGGATATTGATCGAATAGCGTTCTTGCAAAGGTGAGGCTATTAGTTGATAGGTAGCAATGGATCAAAGAGTCAATCAGAATAGAATATGATGAGAGTGATTTGGTGATGACTTGAGCGTGTACTTGCTCGAGTTGCAACAATGGTGGTCGCTGATTTAGCAGCAGATYGAGTGTTTTTGGAGTTGGGTTGGTGGGAAAATTGACTCTCRAGKAGCAAAAGGTATGAGAAGCTGTAAACCTGGAAAATTGCTTAAAGATTTCAATTTTGATCCTCAAAGTTCCATGCATTTTACGTCAAATAAAGATCTTTATGGRTCTGCAAGCTTCTACTCCTATCTGTAAAGAGTTGGTCAAAGTAGCAATTTATTGTAGGAGCTACCGTACAATTAACCAAATGAGTCCAGCTCATAGTATTTCACTTGAGCCATTTCATCAAACACCCTCAGAGCACAAGCTATTTCTTCAATACAATGCRTCCTAGCTCTCCAATAAAATGGCCACATAAACGTCCGAATCAAGCCTAAAATCTGATGTATTTTCGATAGATGAGTAGGATGAAGTTCAGACGGACAACATTTGTAAAAGAGTTATAAGTCAAAATAAGAGTAGGATGAAGATTATACGGGTGATTGTGACCTATTGAAATCATCATTCATATGAAAATGACCAAGACATTTGTAAAGAGATTATAAATCGAAAGAAGAATATGTTATATGACGAAGATTATAGGTTGGGTTCTGGTGATGGTGTAAAAGAGAGTAAAGGTAAGAAGCGTAAGTAAAAACGGACGTACATTAGGATGAGATATACCGGTTCAATCCATGTATTAAACATGATTGGTGGGGTGGGTGATTTTAAGATTAAAAGTGATCAAGGGTCCAAGTCATTCTTAGGCTTCATACTAACACTCACAATCGTTGACCAAGATTATATTACTGATTTTGACCTACTAGGATCATCCACTATTTATACAAAATTTTTGCTGATACAGCCAAATACATGACAAGAGTTGAGATTTTAGTGGTGGTCGTTTACTAAACACTTGCTTGATAGGTACTTACCGGATAAATTTCTCATTAGATGAACATGTCAAGGGTCAAGAATCTTACCAGATAAGAGCGATGAGAATGATGGAGAGTCTTACTCGGTAAGTGAGAATGACGATTCTTACCCACTAAATTGTTGCATTCGATATGTTTTGATATACAAAAATCTTACGCATTAAAATAAATCATAGTGTTGACGCGCTTACCGGGTAAGCAATTGGATAAACGGCCCCTAATTCTTGGTCCCCGAACAATAATTCATACATCTATGTCAAATACGATGATTTTATTGTTGTACATTTTCATAACTAGTTACAAAAAGCAAGATTAACATATGGTTTTCCTCCATGTGCCATTATAATTTTTTTTTTCTGGTTTTCCATCGTTCAAACTTTGTTTATTACAAAAAGAAAATCCATTATGATACTCATTTTGTTCTGGTTTTCCATCGTTCAAACTTTGTTTACTACTCCTGATGACAATATTTATATTGGGTTAGTCATGGCAGTGTAAACAAGTCAAGTTGCAGGTTATTCGAGCTCAACTCAAAGAAAATATTACCAGACTCAAGCTCAACTAACYTTGCTTGAGCCGACTTTTTCACAATAGGGCCCGAACTTGAATATTTTTTCAATGTTCGAGCTCGAAGTCGATACCCATTTACGGCCTCAAACTCGAGATCAATCAGCTTGGCTCGATCCCAATAATTTTTGGACTTCAATTATATATATATATATATATAAACATGTTTAGTTCAAAAAAAGTCTATGCTTGAATGACTCAAYTAGGCTCGAAAAATTTAATCGAACTTTCAAACGAGTCAAATCAAAATCATTGTTACGAAGCTTGACTTGTTAATGGTTACTAGTTTTTTTGGCATACTCAAGTCCGATGCGTCAAAAAGTCAATCAACGACTACGCATCTATCAATAATAAGAAGGAAAGAGTAACAAGTACAAGATATCAGTAGACAGAGTAATGGATAAGGATAAGTTTTCTAAATCCATGACATTTTTATGCATATACACAGAGATTATTTTTCTTGAAATGAAAAGCCAACCCAGTGCCTAGTGATCAATTATTAACACTCTTTTTTCATAAATATTCAGCATCAACCACTTTACTTGGATTTACGAGCTTCTTCCCGCGTAACAGCTCTCACATAGATCTCATAGCAACATCCTGGAACATTAAAGATATGTTGTGCCATTTCAGCTAATAGTCTAAAACAAATTAACAGATATGCTGCAAAGGATTCAACATTATTAGTCAGCCACACATAGTCCTCAACATTACAGATTACAGATTACAATAACCCCCTGCACATACCATGAGATATGGGATGGTTATTAATGAATTTTAGAGGTTGTTTATTAAGCACTAACAGTCTCTTACCAGGTAACTGAACACTAATTTCCTCTTACCAGGTGAGGGACGCTTACCCAGTCAGAGATGATGGTCTTTACCAACAATTTCACTCTGCAATTTTGCCCACTGAGTAAGTGAGGGTTGTGATTCTTACCTGATTAACACTTGCCGGGTAAGAGACGCTTATACTTGCTAGTTGCTACTCCCTCCATCCCAATACAAGTGTCCACAATGAAAAAGGCACACCATTTTGAGAATGTATGATTTTTATACTTTTGAATCAACTAAATGACAATTCAATCCTTAATAATAGAGAGAGAAACTCTCTCCATCTCATAAGGGTAGAATGAGAAAGTAGACATTTACTTTTAATCATGGACACTAATTTTGGGGCAGAGGGAGCATTTTGATGATCAAAAATCTTATCCGATAAGTGAGGGCACTGATTCTTATCTGGTCAGCACTTAACAGCCTCCGTGTCTTTTAGAGCACTGTTACTTGTAAAGCGCAAACAATTGGTGTGTAACAATCCTCTAGGAAAGCTCCAGATGTTGACATTTTAAGCTAGCCCCAGAAAGAAGGGGAGGGGTGATTCAAAGTTAAGTGGAAGGCAATTGGAATGAGCTTCAGAAGTGAGATAATATGGCAGCAGATGATAAGAGTCTCACATGATGAGTATCCCATACAAGATAAATCACATTCTTTTCAACTTAGGATGACATACCAGCTACGACGGCAATAGTGAGGTAATCTTCTATACTTCTGATGCGTGAGGCACTTTTCCTATATGATTTTTAGCACTCTAGTGCTGGGTCCTTTGCCTCTAGTTTGTGTAACGTACTTTACGAACTTCTATTTTTATACCTAAGATATAAAGATATTAAAAAAATATAATTTATTTATGATAACAAGATTTTACAATAATACTCCATTATGTTGTAGGATAAGTGTGTCATTGTCTAAATGATATGACGATAGAGATAATATATATATCAAAGTTAAATTAGAAGTGAAATATCTCGTAGTTCTACTTGTAACTCATCCCTATAAAAAGGGCTTATGATTAATGAGATTACATATTCCTTCTCTCTATTCTATTGTTGTTTCTTTTCAGTTATTCTATAACATGTTATCAACAAGTAAGCTTAAAAATTCGTTGTCATTGAGTCACATTGACCATCGTCGCAAAAAAAAAGTTGTTCAGTTCATTGTAAGAACTATATAGTTTGTGGCAACTGTGAGATTCAATATGAGTTAAACATTTTAGATAATTAATGTTATTTACTAAAATAAAACAAAAAGTAAATTAGTAAATTGTGTTGATTATACAATTTACTTTAATTAATTTAATATTCTTACTTTAGTTGGTTTAATTATTTTAATATTTGTATACACACACACACGAACACATAGGGACCAAATTCGGTGGCCTTCTCCGACACCCACCACCACTCCGGTGACCTCCTCCGGTCATCTTGTCTGATCGACGTCTCCAATGATCGACCACTAAACACCCATTTGTGAGCATTCTTGACAGCTAGCCCCATCTTTGTCCCTATGACCCCTTCACTACCTATCTCCCTTCCCCCATCCCCTCCACGTTGGTATCACAGTGATACCTGGTTGGTATCACAATGGTACCACAATTGATATCATAGTGGTCTCAAAGTTTGTTTGGTGTGTTTTGGGTATTAAATTGTATGTATTTTGAATATCACAGCGTATCTTGGTATCATTTGGGTATCACATGGTGTTCGTCCGAGACCGGAGGTAGGAGGGAGATATATATATATATATATATATATATATATAATTTAAAATACCTAAAATACCCTTTAATTATAATTTTAAGTCAAATTACCAAAAATATTAGTTTCCTAATTTATCCATTAATTTATGGTTGAGATTGAATCTCACAGTTATCACAAACTAATGAGTTCTTTCTTGAATGGATCCCTATATATATGTATCATCGTCAATCTGTTCCACCGTAAAAAAAATCATATGATATACCTTTAATATATAGATTGACATCATTTACGGTCACAATGTTAATTATTCTCAGTAACACTCTATGTAAGTTAATATAAATCAGTTGAGTTTCCATCTCACCACATGTTAAAGTTTTTCATCACCATTTTAAACTTTTAAGGTTAAAACAAACTTTTTCGAAACCATAAATCTTATAATCAAAAGGTTATGCAACTTATAGCATGTGATCTTATACTTGTTTATGAGATATGAATTTACTTGAAATTCATCCATGAAATATCAAGTAATAAGAAGTCAATAATGTATGAAAAAATATAGATAGTTTTAAAATCCTAAATATAAATATAAATAGTTGTTAATTACAAGAAAATCTATTGTATTCTATTACAAGAATAGACATCATTCGGATGAAATAATCAAAAAAGTTAGTAAGAGAAAATTGATGGAAAATATATCAAGATTTTATAGGCAAATAATTTTAAGATAAAAAACCTAGAGAGACAATAAACAATACTATAAAATGAATGCTCAATTAATTTTTTTAGTTTTTATATATTTTCTTTTCCAATGTATCTATTCTATATTATAAAGCATTTGACAAAAACTCTTAAAAATCAATTTTTATGCATAAAGTACTGTTTATTAATGCATATTACTTAAAATTCAAGATTACAAATTTACAATTGCACAAGTACAACTTATTAAAGCTCCATTTTTAAATTCGTGTAACTAACTGCAGATAAACATAAGCAAATATACGATAAATATCTATTTTAAATTTAGAAAATCTAAAAATATAATTAAGATAATCATTGAGTTTCTAACAGAATGTTTAATTATTATCTTTAATAAAAATTATATTATTAAACAAAAAATAAATTGCTTTGTTATTAGACTTAAATTAAATTATAATAAAAAATTGAATTAAAGAAGTTACAAAAAAACGAGAACTATTAAATAGTTAATTTAATACTAATATCGATTTTATTTTTTTAAATTTTTTTATGCTATTTTCAAATTAATATTTCATTCAAAAATAAAAACATTATCGTTTTCTGAAAACCACATAAAATTGTATTATATCAATAGAGACAAAGAATAAAAACTAAATATTATAATAAAGATTTATCTCGTTGCATTGCACGAATACTTTTCTAGTTTAATTAATAGATGTTTGAGTCCTTAATATAATACAAAATTCTTTTTTGTGGTACTATTAGATATTAAAAAAATTGGCTTTTTTTTGTATTGAAGTCAAAAGGTTTAAACCACACCAATGATAAAAAATGTCTGTAAGTATTTATTGTATATAAATATTAGATACTCAAAAATGCATTAATAGTTGTACTTGTAACTATACATGCTAACGGAAACGAATACCCGGACCCAAAGACACCTCAACAAAATACATAGTAACCAAGTGCACCCAAACACATGCACATTACATACATGTTTGTACTGAACCTGTATGCAAACTTTATTAATGACCTTTCACCCAGACCCCTATCTACTACATATGCATCTTACAAAACTACCTGGTCCTATGCACACGATGACAATGTTTAATTAAATCCAGCAGCAATTACACCCACCATGTTTCCATCGCTGCAGGGTTTGATGACATCTCTCTTGCGTATCTCTGACATGAGCGAGAACCATTCTACGACACTCGACACAATCTTCCATCTCCTCTGAGCTTTAACAATGGAAGAAAGGGAAAACCCAGCAAGTGCACATGCCTGGTCCACCTCCAAATCACATCTACCAGAATACTGCATATCCACATCTTGACTGGAGTCACAAATCCAGGATTCCAATAAATACTGCATATCCATCTCTGGAGAATATGCAATCTGTGGGTAATCAAATCGCCTTTTCTTATGGGAAGCTACTATAATGTTGCACTCCGAAGGTCTTCGTGGTCTATCAATTGAACTTTGATTGGATGATAGTAATGGGCTGAAACTGGTACCTGTCTCTGTAGGAGGATAATGTGCATGATTTTCGTTTGGACCCTCCAGATCAGATGGATGAAAGCAAAAATGTTCCTGATAGTCATCTGGACAATAAATCAATTCATCATCAAAAGGGGCCTTCTCTTTCCCCCGTTCAGATTGAGAGGTTACCGCAGGTGCCTGATTCGTGCTTTCACCCGTGTGCAAGTTGGAGCTATCCAAATTGTCTGGAGCTCCAATGAGACTGGGGAATGAACAAGTGGCCCGTGAAGAGGTATCATTTATCATGGAAGTCCCCAAACTTTGGTTGGAAGGTAATGAGCTGAAACCGGTGCCCGACTGAAGATGTTCTATGAGAGAGGTCTCATCTTTGACAGGGAGGAGCACTTCTAAGTGTTCGCATGCAAACTTTATTAATTTTTTAGCCTCTACCTGTTAATAGAATCAATTAGAATGAAGTAGAGAGGGGGGAGGAGGAGGGAGATAGATAGAGATAGATAGAGATAGATAGAGAGAGAGTCTTGCCTTTTGATTATTGGATAGCTGGTCAACCAGTAAGTACTGATCAGATTCTACTATTAATCCTTTCAATTGTAGCTTGACATCAAGAACCACACCATTTCGTTCATTACTTGGATCAAGGTACACAAACATACCATCGGACTTCTGAGCATGGTTTACAATGTCATCCCAGCTCTTAGGAGTTATTGGTTTAAGAGTCTGCAAATGCCACAAGACTGAGTCAGCATTCTCGATGTGAAAACACAGAGCCCCCCACTGGGGACCCACTATGCCAAAAGCGAGAGACTTCACCTCGACGGTTAGGCCACGATTCGCCCATTGCGGAAAATTCCCCACTGCTGCCTCCCGTAGGAGTCTGGGCCCCAATTCTTGACTGGGGGGGACACCAAAGGACTCTATTTCTGGGAGCGAACTCCGGGTGAATATGAAGCTTATTATTTTCAGACTACCAAGAGCCAAGGGCAACAACAGTAAATAGAAAGAAAAGGATAATCTGTAATTACATCTTTGAGTCGTTCTGGATCTGTGTGGAGGAGAGTCAGCAAATCCTTCACAGTATTCACTCCTGCATCTTTCAGACGTTTATAGCGATTACCACAATAGCTGATCTGTTGTAAATGACACACCTTATCGAATAAAGATGGGCAGGGGTGTTTTACAGAATCTGCACAGTAAAAACAATTTATCAATGGCTCTACATATTGACCGATCATAAAGAACAAAAAAGCTCTAACTTTTGTGCTTGTAACCTTTTTAGTGTTTGTTCTCTTCCGTCTCATAGGGTCTTCATGTGTTGATATGTCCTTAGAGAAATCAAATAAAATGAATATGTTGTAGTTCCACACCGGCTAGAGATTGTCTATCTTACCTCTATATATGTTAGAATCTCCCCTATCTATACAAGGGTCCTTTTGGTTTGCAGGATTATTTTGAGGGATTTGGATTTCATGGAGGGATTAGGATTTGAAGGAATTTGGATTGGAATGGATTTGAAATCATTGGTGTGTTTGGTTTGTAGGATTTGGAATGGAATTGGATTCCATTATTTATAGATAATTTATAGAAATAATTATAAATAATTATAAAAATAATTAAATTACATTTTTGTTAATCGATTATTACAAAACAAATGTTTTTAACATTTTTTAAAACATTATTTCATATAATCCTACAAAATCCCGTGAAATCCCGAGCATCCCCTAAGGATTTCAAAATCCTATGTTTGTAGGATTTCAATTAAATCCTAGGATTTCAATTAAATCCTAGGATTTCAATTAAATCCTAGGGTTTCAAATCCCGACAATCCAACAAACCAAACATGAGATTAGGATGGATTTGAAATCAGAATCCCCCCCCCCCAATTCCATTCCATTCCTAAAAAACCAAATGGGATAAGGGTTTTTTAGAAAGAGATTCAAAAGGGTGGTATCCGAGCCGACGTCTAGTTCTCCCGCCCAACACACTCATTTGGATTCCGCTTAATGGGGAGTCTCCATTCTAGGGGATGTCGCCTCTCAAGGGGGTGTATCTAGCCTCCGTCTGAGGCAGCATGTTAGACAACCACGCCAGCTAGACACGATCCATCTAACCTCCATATATAGTTTCAAAAGGGTTCCACATTTAACTTGATTGAGTTTTAATTCGACTCCTGATTGCTGAAGCCCGACTGAAGCAGGTTTAGGAAGAAAACGAAGTCTCCAGGGCATGGGAGGCAACCATTTAGACCACTAGGCTAAGGCAAACAAGGGGCCGGCCTTGGTGACAGTCTGCATTGCAAGGGAGCGATTCTGGGTAGCACACTAGCACCTTGTTCCGTAAATTCATAACTATGTGGTTAGGATCAACATGCCAGGGATACATGTTGCTTATGCTTTCATTCAAATATGAGTTTGACAAACTCTTAGCTATAAATAATTACCTTTTTGGTGCTTTTGGTTGACTTTTGAAGTTAATAACTACATCATAAAGAAACATATTAATATGGGATACTTACAGGTTGCACGCCGGTCCTTCACCAAAAAGGATTCTGTCCATGCTACTTCCACTCCATTCATTAAAGCAGCATCCCCAACTATTGCCCCTAATTTGTACCAACCATTCTTGGTATGTGTTGAGTTAAAAGTAAAAGAAATCTCACCGACAAAACCAATGCCTTCTTTTAGCTGCACACAAGTATCTCCTTGGAGGATTCGCTTCCCTTTCTTTTCACCAAGAATACTGTTTTGGAGCTCTTCAAATGTCCAGCTTCGTTTTTCGCAATCATCATCACCTACCCGACAACCAACTATTTCCAGTTTCAGTGCAGATTCAGTCCCAGTATTCACTATCTGCTCAGTGTCAGCATCAACCAAGGCTATTTCAATGGGTGTCTTGTTCTCTCCTACAAGAGGCATTCCAGTGAAGACTGGCTGGGAAACCCTAGTTCTGAACTGTGTCTTTAAATTTTTCAGAACCGATGAAGTACTTGCCTTGTTTACTGGGATCCTGGTAAAAAACGATGAATGAGCTACATAATGATTATTGATTAAAGCTTCCAGCTAATATAGATAATAAGTTTATATTTACTCTTTCTTGCTTGTCAAAAGCTCCTGTTGTGCCAATGCAAACTCCTCTCTTACCTAGAAGTTTATGGACTGTCAATTACTTGAACTCATATAACCGTTATGCACAACATAATAAGCTACCAAATGTTGATTCATATGGAAACCAGGAACATAAGAGAAGTTTATCAATAATATGTAATCATATGCTGAACTTTATTAAAGTGAACCCTAATATCTAAGCACCTAAATTGAATAATCAAATTATACAGAGCTGAGATATGATTATCACTTCGCATTTAGACGTTTGAGATAAAGATTGAACGAGATATGAACACCCTAAGCAGATGGCATACATTAAAAACCTCTCTGCGGATTAGGCCATGTAAACAATCGGCATATGCAATAAAGGACCGCAGAGTGCATCTAAAAAGTTGAGATAATTAAAATAAGGCAAAAGTCCTTTTATGTTCGAGGGATAAATGAAGCTTTCGTTGCTGATCTCCATAGAAATATGTATCCGTGACTCATAAAATTGCTATAGAGAGATCAGCTATGTTCACAAAAAAGGATAGCATTTCTAGTTTTAGTTTGTATAGTTTAGCAGAGTAAATAGAACTCACAATTTGACGAATAGAAGGCCCGAAAAAAGTTACAAGAGTAGGCCCGTCGAGACGCTTTAATGTTTGGAGTATCATAACTTCCAGTGCTTCCCTACAATAATGATCATACCATCATTATGAGACAGCCAGATGCAAAATCAAAGGAAAAATGATCATTCTATTGATAATTTCATCATACATTTTCTACTCAAATGAACCATAAAACCTGATTATGAGCTTTCTATGCCTCC